GGTAAGAGAAACTTCCTTAACTACATCACACTCACCACACATCAACATTTCTTACATTTCTACCAGAATGTACTTTTCAATTTTGACCTATTTCATTGGAAATTTGGACACTAAGTTTGGGATAAATTTTTTCTAAAGTACATTCTGCAACATAAGCATCAGGATATTCCCGTTTTACTGACTTAGTATAAACAATATTTAAAAATAAACTTCCATCGGTTCTAAAATAAAAATCCGACAAAACACAAAATACATCGCGCAAAATATAAAGATCTAATTAATTTCAAGGCAGTTTATATATAATTTTAGTAACCGGAATCAATGTAATGCCAGCAGAGTATATGCCCCATCTATAAATAGTACGAGGTTATTATTACTGTGTGCCGTCTGTGGGACTTGGATCCACTTACTTTGCCAGCAGAGTGTGAGCCATATATGGGGAAGTCTGACAGTAAATTGACAATTTACCGCGCCATTATTCGGGTTATTGGTGGGGCGATGGAGGTGATAAGCTAGCAGGTTCATTAGGCGCCACTTCACAGCGCTCTGTCACGACGACGACGACGAGCGTCCCAAACAGATGAAGAGCACGCCGCGTGAGGCGAACAATGATGCAGCGGGGTTCAACACCACCGACTGCCCGCCACTCCACTTAGCCATGTTTCTTCTCTCCAGTAACAAGAAAGTTGTCTGCGTGTTCGTACCACGGGACGAAACATTCACACGCCCCGCCCGTGTTTAAGTACCCTCGAACGAACATGTAAAGTGACGGTCCTCTTCGTGGACAGAAAACTGGAAAAGTTTCGGAAAGACGCCTCTGGGCAGGTTAGTGTAGCGGTAGCTCCTATTCGAAAGGCGTGCTGTTCGAACAGAGGTCCGATTATCGCACTGGCTCAGTCAGTGTACTGAACAGGCTACGAGTTCGATTCCAGTCACTCTCCTATGCAAAAGGTACCGAGAGCCCTTTCCTAGGGTAAAGAGCGGACGGAGTTTGAAGCTAACAACGCACCTCCAGAATGAGATCAGCTGTTCCTTATTCTCCCACGCGTTTCCATGGCTACGTGCCAGGAACAATTTGCATCTAAACGTAGAACTTTCATTTTGCTGGGACAGTATTCCTGGTGTGAGAGAGTGCATTAGACATGTTTCCATCATTCAACAAAATAAATTTGCTTCACGTTAACAGTATAGTCTACACCGAAGGTGGAGAAGAGGAAGACAGATTCAAAGGCACATACCTTCCTTCGGTACATTCCGTGATCGTTGTCGCTTAATATCGCAGTTGTAATTTTAAGGTTAGGATCCGTCGGTAATTTAAGCCAGCATCGAAATATGTCGCTGTGACGTCACTTACGCATAAAGATGGCGGCTGTATGGAGATCGGGGAAAATTACCAACATCTGAAGTTAAATTTCAGACACTTTTTTCAGTGGGAACGAACTGTAGTTGCGAGCTTTGAAGCTCACTTCACGATGTTCAGCGTCTCTAAGCTTCAAAGCGCTTCAGGAGTGCAGTATCACGTGTAACATTTCTAACAGCGTCTTTTTAGAGAATCTAACAGTCGCTCATGTAATCAAATATCACCTGCAATTTATAGAACCAAAAGAAACTTTGTCATATAAAAACAAGTCAGTCACCGATCCCTATTTTGAGACAGATAAATTAAGTCTAGATCCACGCCCTCAGCCTACTTCTTTAAGATCCACTTTAATATTATCCCCTCATCGACATCAGATAAATCCAATCTATACAATCAAAACTTATTTTCTAATGATTCGTTTTAATATTATCATCCCATCTACTTCACTACCTTCCGAGTTCCTTATCCCCTTGAGGCTTTAAAACCAAAATTTTGTATGCATTCATCAGCTCCCCCAGTGCCAAAAGTACAGCCTCCATCATCAGATCTACAGAAGTCCACGATATTACACGGCCCAATATCTCATCATTACACTAGCTGGGTTTTTTTTTATTTTTAGTGTTCTGTCTGACGACAGGTCCATATGAACAGGATCCTTCCATCCTTTTCTCGGACTGGGACATGTTCATATACGTTCTTGGCAGATGATCCAGAAGTGGTTTGCCATTGCCTTCTTCTGTGTGTGAATGGAGTAATTGTTGGGATGCCACGGAGAAACCGGGGAAGCCCCCGGAGGAAAACTCCGTGTTGCCTATACCACGGCCTTGCCCAACACAAGTTATAAATTCGGGCACCGCCGGGAATCGAACCCGAGACCCCCAGGATTACAAGGTCAGCGTTCTAACCGCTAGACCACCTCATCTAATTTCTTCTGTGTGTGAATGGGATGCCACGGAGGAAAACTCCGTGTTGCCTAGACTACGGCCTTGCCCAACACAAGTTATAAATTCGGGCACCGCCGGGAATCGAACCCGAGACCCCAGGGCGTTCTAACCGCTAGACCACCGTGGCTGAATACTCGCTGGTATATGAACCTAAAAAGTACGAAATCGACAACTCATCTACATACACGGCAGGCGAAGTCCGTTTCCTCCACGTCCCTTATACACCCTTGTGTAAGTGTGTTTAGGCATGCATTAATTCAACTCCTAATCCGTTCTTTACAACTTTATGGCTAAATGTATTGAACAGAGTCACTCAGAATTTGGTACTCATTAAAGACAATCAAAATATCGACCGCATTTTGTGTAATTATGTTTACAAGGGCCATGACCATTTTACCCTACCCTGACACAGATTAATCTGGTTCTTACCTTAACACACTTTATCTGCAAGATCTTCTTCGTTATTAGACTTGTGTTCCCTTACGCGATTCTGTTCTACTAAGTGACATTTTCCCTTCTGATTTTCCGAATAAAATATTTTATTAGTTTATTTTACTTGTAAAAGACCCCGTCCATTTTAACCCAATTTATTCATCACACGAATGATTACGGAGTTTCTAATTATGCGACTCTTAAGGGTCAGAAAATACGACGCAGGGCCCATTTATGTAGCCTGTTTTCGAAATTTACAAAACATTAGGACCTACTCATTTATTACGTCTGTACAAAACACGAATTATTTCTTACTTTCACATTAATGAAACTCGACGAGTTTCTTTTGAGATTTGTGACTCTCACAGGGGTTTGTCATCTGGGTTGTAACATCTTGTGGGCTCGTGGGTTGAGAGGAACATACTGCGTCCATGTTCAGAAACACTGACGTCGTATGTTCTTACCCATAAATTCACGCGTCCTTACAACCCAGAAGATCGACGTTAATATCCGGCATCTAACCTACCCGATGCTGTGGGCGTAACTAGATTACGAACCAGGTCGATCCGCTCAGTGTGTAACTACAACAAAATTTGTTCCTTTTCTCCAAATTTATATCAGGAGCAGCAAATCAAAGGAAGCCGAGATGGATCTGATAATTATCACATGAGAAATAACACACGGCTACAAAATTTTTGGTCGGAAAATCGATGGAAGGGAAAAATCACTTATAACATCTGGGGTTAAATTGTAAAATAACATTATCCAGAGTGAATATTAAGGTTTGCGAGGGGTGAACTGACTATATTAATCTAGCTCAAGCTAGAAGGCAGCATCGGACTATAGCGAACACAGTAATTAAACTACGTATTCCATAGAAGGCGGTTAATTTGACGAGCTGGGTCACTACTAGCTTCCGAAGAACTCTAATGCATCGAATTAGTTAGCCGAACTAAATTAAGTAAGTCTGAATGGGGCACAGTAGAAATCCCTTGTCACCGGCCGCGTGCCTGACAATGGGGCCCGGATGAACTTTTCTTATCAACGTTTGGAACTAATTTAGCTTACCCCATCAAAGACAATATTATCTGACAATTCTCCGTATTATATGGAGTCTCATTAGATTCTCCAATTTGGACACGAAACGCACTGGGGAATCCCCTCCCTTCACAGTGCGTTGCTACGGGCAACCCTCTGCTAAAGGGGGCGAGGTTTTAGGGGTGAGAATGTCGTAAACGTCAAATCAGAGAACAACCAGGCCACGCCCCCATTGTCCACATAGCCAATCAAAACGTCGCCGTATTCATCCCCTACGAAGGGTAAATGCTTTGTATTATCACGAGCGGTGGTTTAAGTGGAGCGCGGGACGGTGATGGCTCAGGGTAGCGACTGAGGTGCATAAGGGCGATTATGGGGGTGTTATTGTGGCTTATAACTCCCAAAACAGCGGTAACTTCGCGTTCGTGATACCATCAGAAACACTTCGAGTCTTAACCTATTAAAATACACGTTTGTCAACTCCTATAAATAAACCATAACTCTTTAGGAGTGTAAATTTTTGCAGAGACAGGGTTCGTGTGGTGTCTGAGACATTTCAAGAATTGTGATCACATGTGAAGGAGTGAAGTGCATGGAAGCGGGAAAAATTGTGTTTGGGACTGGGTCTTAGAGCTGCGAGTGTTATGGAACGTTACGAGTGAAAACGAGAAAACTTTCCACAATGGATATTCTGCAACAGAGAGACAAGAGGCTGCAAGACGTCAGAAGCCAGCACACTTCTTTCCTGATAGAAGACATTCTGTTTCGCCCGAAAACTAGTCTTCCTCAGGTAAGTTATACCAAAAATCGAAGATCGTAGCGTGTTCTGAGGTATCGTAGGTGGTTGCATCGCGGATTATTTAGTGTGAAAGACACGTAACGTAAGTCCTTATTGTTCGACATGACGTCCCCTCACTCAGCATGAACCTCCAACCTATTACTTTGTTTTATTTTTTTTTAATTCTAAGTCGTATTTAAGGCACGGTTTAATTAAGCACCAAGTCATGAGAACACGCATGAGATCGTCGATTCACGAGTAACATCTCTACATCGGCCCTATGTCGAGGTCTGTCACTTAAGAACACTCGAGAATTATCGTGCGTAACTCAGACCGGGCGTGTCCCAGAACCTGTCCGAACGCGTTGACGATGAGAAAAGTACGTCGTTGATCGTACCAGAAACTGATCTTGCGGTAAATAATTCCACAAGCCCGTAGCCTGTTCACTGTTCTGGCAAGTAAAATAAAATAATATTCTCCGCAAAACTTTCAGTGAAGATATTTCAAACTAGACATAAAGACATCCAATTCGCACTGCCTCCATCATCAGGGCGATCTGACGGACTACAAGGCTCACAGCTCAGAACACAGCTGTCCTCTAGACATCTCAGTCTCTTGATAACACTGTTCACGTGTCTTAGAACTAATCTTTACAAAAATGCGTTCCACGCAACACTGACGCAAAGCCCAATGAAAGGAACGATTCCGAAAGGTAATTTAGACGAAAGCAGTTTTTCGATCTAGAACATCGACCTGACGTTCTGTGACAGAAACACTCGTTGGAGTAGTCTACGTCTGACTGGGGGAAAAACAAATCTATTTTAAACTCTATTCGATTTTAAAAAATTTCTCCTACAAATAATGGTCACTCATATAATACGGATTTGCAGACAACAGAAACAATTACACGATTTTCGTTAAAATTAAAAGAAATGCATATCAAATATTAAACGTGTTTTGTTTCTGATTTTCCAACTAAAAGAAAAATGTTCGACCTTTCCGGTCTATATAGGACATTACATAAATGGGAGTGATTCATAAGGTGGCTCGAATGGCCAAGAATGTTTAAGGGCTGACTCCGTACTTAAAAACCCGGAAGATTTTCGTGGAATAACAGAACTTAACATTTCTACCCTGGCTAGTTAGACTGATCCTACTTACAACGGTGTCAGAGAAGTTGCCGCAGTGCCACGGCGAAAGCTTCTCCATCGCAGTAATCAGGTTAGTGACTCCCTCCTTCGGTACGAAACGACTCGACGGATTGGCAGTAAGTCAAAACATTTCTTCAGTTACATAACTTTAATTTGCAGCGCATAATAGTGGGGTAATAGTCCACCCGACCACAGGTTCTAATTTAATTTTCAAACATAGACCTATTGAAATTTTTACTAGAACCGGTAACACAGTCGAGTTATGTCTTTTGTGAGTGACCAATCAGCGTAAAGTAAGTCTGTCCATTCAGAAACAGCGGAACTTCATTTGTTGCAAGTTTTTTCCTTACTATCGTAACCTTCTTTCTTGATGGAGAAGCAATGAATGGACTTCCAAATCCTAGCTCACAAATTTATGTACAGTATTCACAAGTATTCGTACAAATATCTCCACCAAAACAATTTTACATTCGCTGTAAACCAGGATTACTCAACGCCACATTTGGCACCACCGTGTCCACCATCTTTCCACCCCCTCCTATCTCTTTCCTAGCCACAACCACAAAATTTACACGTCATAAAATTCAAGTGTAACACCAACATTAGCATACATCGACTTTTTAACATTTATCCAAAATGATTCATCATACAAAAATCAATGCGTTAGGTTGACAGTCCGTCCACACAATTTTCATGATTATAGTCTCAATATTAGTTAAGAATCCACTACATGTTTCGACCTTAATAGGTCATATTCTGGTGGTTTTCTTTATGTGTTCCAGTAGACACGAATGATAAATTGTATACATATTTTTAATTAAATAGCGTTCGTACGGATTCGTGTGATTGCTTTACAAGTATTCGTAATAAGTACAAACTGTACCCAAAAGAATGAGAAGTTCGACCTAAAGTAGAAACATCTTGATTTTGGGAAAAATACCTCGCCTGGACAATGTGTCTTTCCGACATTCGAGGCTATCTGAATCCTCATCTGGTACAGTTCTTTTCTGTCCCATCAGCACTGTAGTAGTTTAATCAATCAGTCGCTATTACACACCGTTCGATAGCCATTACATACAATGACGTAATTACAGTACCAAAGTGTTCCATTTCGGGGGTAGAGGGTGTTCATATGATCGTCCATACACTGGCTAATAGCAACTGGATATTTAACGATCCTGTATCAACTGTTCCGGTGTCGAATAAAACACTGGACGCTGGCTGTCAGCGTAATTCTGCAATTACTGTCTGGAATTTTAAATTCGTATATACAAACTGTGCCTGAATTTATAACTTGTGTTGGGCAAGGCCGTGGTCTAGGCAACACGGAGTTTTCCTCCGTGGCATCCCCACAATTACTCCATTCACACACAGAAGAAGGCAATGGCAAACCACTTCTGGATCATCTGCCAAGAACGTATATGAACAGGTCCCAGTCCGAGAAAAGGATGGAAGGATCCTGTTCATATGGACCTGTCGTCAGACAGAACACTAAATAATAATAAATAAATAATATCTATACGCTACTACGCTAATATATGCATCTCTTTCATATCAGTGCACGCATTGTAGACTGTCATCATGCGAAACAAAGCTGAGTAAAATCACATACACCATCAAACAGTTTTCGTAGGTGTCATGTCACGTGCTGTGTCATTAATATTAATTTTAATCAGTTAAATTAATATATTTATTTAGAAAGTATTACGGACAAAACAATGCACGGAATTAATATTATTCTTCATTTTATTTTGTTACAAATTCACGTAATCGAAAAATTTCCCAAATAAATTTTGTACATCTTGGTAACATCTGTAAAGCATGTATATAAACAAAACTGTTTACGCTTTGAAGGACACTAATGTCAAACGCGTTTCGACCTCAAGAGGTCATCGTCAGTGTCAATAACATTAATTCATTAGTCCGTCCATTAAATCAAACAATTCATAAGTCGATGGTTTTTCGATATTTTTAAGATTGGTAACATGTGATTTTCTCACACATTCCTCAACCAACTTATTTTTGTTGGATTAACAGTTTTTGAGAAAATCAATATAAGCTTAGGTAGGTGACAACATCTTACATTATACGCTTTTAAGTCGTCATTGCACTAAACACACGCGGTTACATCTGACTTACAGTAACCACACGTAAGAAGTTTTATAAAGTTTATTATTATTTGTTATTGGGTGAATTTAATTTATTTTCGCACGTCGGTAAACAACGTAAAATGGAATTTTGTCAGCATACATACGTTAATGCACAAATTTTAACACAGTTCATTATCTTACTTTCGAGTTATGAGTATTGGCAAAATTCCATTATCTAAACCCTTAATAAGTAATAACTGAAAACATGGGGAAGGAAGGCAACATAGGATTTGAGACTTTCGCGGCGCCAGATATTTTATTAAACCAGTGCAATGTTTCGTAACACAAGATCGCGCTTGGTCTGGTCAGGCCACGTATTTAAATTTAAAATTTGCAAAGAACAATTGTGGAATCTGTGTGTTCCGATACTGAACACTCCTTTGCCATTTCATCATCTGACGAATGGAGCAATGTCTTGATAAAAATTTAATCAATTAACTCTAAAGTCACGGTCAAATTTCCCAATAATTTAATATGACCTTGAAAGTAGAATTTTTAAGTTTTAAGTATAAGTTCTATGTCTTTTAAGTATACAATCGGTTACGAAGCCGAGGCGTTCTGCACGATCTATGTTCCATTCGAGGGAGAGCTGGCTGTAAACACAGGGTGGTTAAAAATGTAAACCTGCCCCTGAATTATTCAACCTAAGAACCGGGTTAAATCTGGCCTACTCCCTAAAATATCAAAACATGAATGAAAGAGATCACTTGAAAGACGTAGGTGTCGATGGAATATTAAAATGGATCTTAAATAAATAGTATCTGTACGAGGGTGTGAAAGTGTGGAATTTCATGACTAGCTGAGCTACTGTTATCATCTCAAGAAGGACTTTGCTCCATGGAGTTAATACTTCAACAAATTCTGCGGAGGTATACATCCAAATATCTTCATGGCTTGGTGGTTAATTAAGCATATGAATAACATTACGTTTATTATTTAACCAAACCAGAAGTTTCATTGCCGTTCGCAATGAAATACCAGGCCCAGGGCCAGTTTAATCCAGTCACCATTACCGCAATTAATTTCCGTATTACCCATTTCATTCGTTATCGTCTGAAAGGTTTTTGAGTATTTCG